TGAGCGACACCTCCCTCCCTCATTATTTTTCATGCTCTTTCAAACCGGGCGGAGTGGTTCTTCTATGCTTCGACTAGACCCTCCCGGGTGGGGGTATTTATTGTTATCGCACGTGCCCTTTAAGCGGCGGAGATGAGCCGTATTGTTGCATCTCTAGCTGAACCGGGTTCGTCAACCCCCCTAACATGCTTTTACTCGCGGATTTAACATATTCACAAAGTGTGGGAGTATACTATCAATTTTAAATTGATATGACACATGACAACAACAGCAAAAATCGATCAGGAGTGTCTATGTAATTTCTATCGCAATATAAGGCTATTGCACAGTACAGCTGAGCGTTTGAAAAGTGCAACATTGAAACAATGTTGCTTGAAAAGTGCTTTGAACGGGCCTAAATTTGGTCTGAATGTTCCTACTGTTCTAAACTTTCTATAAAAAACCCTTCTAGCAGCTACAAGCCTGCTCAAAAACATATTTCCGGCTGCTCTAAGCCTGATACAAAAACACTTTGGCTGTTTTCAAGACTGCGCCCAAACCCATGCGCCCTGTTGCACCCCTGCAGAAGTGAATAACCTGAAATTAGAAAATCGACGCAGCTTTAGAATTCTGAAATTACGGCAACCACCGTTATCATACCTTTGTCGTCAGCTGCGTGGGTTTTTTTAATAGCCATGAAACGTCTTTCGTTGGCCCGGACACTCTTGTAAATAGCGCCATTTGTTCCCGGTCCAGAGGTAGATTTACAATGCCGCGGGATCTCCATCGTTGTGCCAGCAAAAGCTTTGCAGTGCTTGTCTTCAACGTGTCCGACAGTAACATGTGCATGCTGCCAGGCACTGTTCTGGGTGTTTTATGAACCTTAAAGCACCAATCTGTTGTAGCAGTAGTACAGCCCGTAGCATCTTCGCCACCTAATGCTTCGCTCTTAGACTGGAATGAATTCAGCTTTGGTCTAAGCTGAAGTACATCACATAAAGGTGAGATTTAAACACTCATACGAAAATTTCGTGACCGCGTGGCAATGTCACACAGTGAGCGCGACCACACTCTTTTGGTGCCACATAGAATCGGCACCTGCTGTGAGGTTCCTGTTCGGCATTACCCGCGTCGAGCCTCTGCCTCCAAACGCGCAGAAATCGCTAAGCAAGTGAATTACATGCTTCATCATCATACCATATCGTGTTCGTAGAGTGACTGGTCAGCCCCGTAGTCCTTGTTGAAAAAAATCAAATCAAATGAAGTCAATTTTTTTATTTCCACCTTGTAAGTCTTACAGATGGAGAAAAACAGAAAAAAAAGCTGCCGAGAGGTGGTTTGACTGCTCCGTAGCCCTAAGTAATCTATGGCATGCGGGCAAGAGTCCAGTTCACAAAGAAAAACAAAAAAACATGATTAGTGCATAATGAAACCTGAATATACAATTCCGCACAAAAATCATACAAGAGTACAACAGCGCGATCAAGAAAGATGGCACAATTTGTTCTTGAGTTGGTTTTGCCGAACAGTGTCACTAAGCCTGCCATATATCCACATCATCATCTTGAGGATGCCATAGACCGACTGGATGGTGCCGGTTTTTTCATTACGCTGGATCTTTTTTCTGGCGGTTGGCAGGTGAAGCTAGACGCAAATAACACTGAGAGAACCGTCTTTATAACTCTGGACTGCTTATACCAGTCTAACCACCTGCCATTTGGCCTCTCCGACACTTCTGCTACATTTCAGCGTATAATAGACGAGTATCTCAAGTAGTCGATGGCTTTGATTTGTTTGAAGGTGTTCGGAAAATGCTACCACGTTTACCGAACACCTCGCGCGTTTAGAAATGGTTTGCGTGCTCTCCAAGACACTCGTCTTTTCATTAGGCCTCCTAAGGGCTTCTTCGGCTTCTCGAAAATTAGAATTTTGGGGCACGTAGTCAGTGCCAAGGGCATCAGCCTTGATCCTACGAAGCTCCAAGCCATTGCATGCATTTGGCTTCCCACAATGTCTAAGCGTCTTAAAGGTTGCTTAAGCTTCGCTTCATATTTCATAAGCTTTGTCCCTTGATGTTTGCTGGAATGAAGTTTGCTGAAAATGGGGTCCTGACACAGAATTTGCCTTCTAAGACCTCAAGACAGCCATTCAAGCACCACCGACGCTGGCGCACTATTACGAGAATGCCCGAACTATTCTACAGACTAATGTCAGTGGTCTTGGCCTCGAAGCTCTTCTCTTGCAAGTCAACAAGAACGGGAAGGGGAGACCAGCCGCATGTGCTAGCCGCTGGTTCAGTGAACCAGAGAGCCGATACCACGCCTCTGAAAATGAGTGCTTGGTGGTAGTTTCGGCACTCATGTATTTTCGCCCACATGTTTATGGTAAAATTTTCACGGTCGTTACCGACAAAATCGCCCTTCACTGGAATCAAACAAAAAAAAGACTTCTATATTTTGTTTGCTAGGATAGCCAGCAAAATGCAGGATTACACCTTTTCTATTGTCCATCGCAGCAGATCTCGTGAACAAGACGTTATCTGTCTCGCCTACTCACAGCTTTGAATGATATCTCCTCAGCCACTACATTGATTGATTTACAAACCACACAGCTACAATACGCAAAAAAGTCGATGTAACCTGACAACTATCCGGGAAAGTACGCACTTCCAAATGATATAGTACAAATCTTTCGGCATTGTATGTCGCCCAAGATGCAATTCTTTATCACCGAAATTATCGAAATGGACCATGCGCATCTGTTGTGTCATTATTCGTGCGATATTAGGTACTATTCATGTGCCGCTGCGCCCCGACTGTCCGTCACATATGGCTGAACAAGACGCTGGCACACATAAAAGAGAGGTTTTGGTGGCAGCGCATGCACAGGGACATTTCCCGCTACGTTTTGTCATGCACAGTCTGTCAAGGACGGAAGGCCACCACAAATCCGGCGCAACCGGTTCCTGTGCAACCCATCCCTCCTCCGGAAACACCTTTTAAGATTCTGGGACTTGATCATCTGGGACCGTTTCCACGTACGTCGGGCGGCAGCAAGTTCCTCATCGTTGCCGTGGACCACGGTTCACGGACTATCTAATGAATTGAACCGAAGTCGGTGACGTCCACGACTTTTCGGTGCAGCACGTCCTCACGTTCATCAACAAAAACGCCGTTTTTCGACACGGTGCGCCACGCTTTCTCATTCCTGACCGTCGTACAGCATTCACGTCGCGAAGATTCAGGAACGTTTTGAATCATCATGGAATTCGACATGCCACGGTCATTCCTCAGCACCAATGAACAAAATCTCTGGGGGAACGTAAAAATCATACCACAAAGTACTTACTGTCGCCGCATGTGAACCCTAGTCACAAAAACTGTGACGAATGCGTCACCGCAGCCGTCTTCGCCCTCAATACGTCACAGCAGAAAATCACATGGGACTCATGTTTCAAGCTTGTCTACGGAAAGACGCTAAGGCTTCCGCAAGAAAGCTTCTTTGGTTTGAACACGATGGTGCACAACTGTCCGGATCAAACTAGTACTTCGGAGCTATACACCAGAAAGGTCGCTTTAGAGCACGCCTGGCCAGAGCTCTTCACTAGGCGAAATTCAGCTCGTCTTCCTACGAGAATACCATCGCATTCAAACCTGGATACCTAGTGATGGTTTGAAGCACCAGACATGTCAAACAGTGTTTCTAGGAGTTTCTTACCCGGTTTTTTTGGTCCATTTCAGGTGGTGAGAGCCCTCCGCCCTGTTAGATTCCGCCTGGAACTTATTTCCAAACTGGGCACCAAAAGGAGAAACCGGGTTTTTTTCCTCCCATGCAAGCAAGCTGAAACTATGTGCCGCGTAATTTCCGTATTCACGTCCTTTCGTATTCTGGCTCAGACTCCAGGGAAGAGGGGGCGGTATGCAGTGGATCATATCGATGAAGTTACTGGCGCGGGATGGGTAGTTCCGTGAAGGAGAAAGACGAAGAAGATGAAGCAATGCCTAAGCGATGGTGCCACGATTGTGCTTAAAACATAAAGTTTCCTTTTCTTGTGCTTTCTCTTTGTTACACTATATTACAGCATGATTTTTCTCCAGTTGAAAGAATGTTCTCATTAAAACGTCGCAAATTCACACCCCTACTTTCTGCGTTTTATCGCAGAATAAACTATGTGTTGTTTCCTTTTTTGTTTCTGCGTGCTTTTCCGCCACAAATCTAGCAGTCATATTTTGTCCTGTAGCCCATCTGGCTAGTTTTCCAAATTGTCCATAAACCCCAAAGCAAGTGTAAGTTAGACTGGCACCCTCACACGCTTGCCACAAATCTAGCAGTCATATTTTACTCTGTAGCCCATCTGTCTACTTTTCGAACTTGTGCCTGAAACCCGAAGCAAGTGTAAGTTAAATTGGCACCCTAACACACACTCGAGTGTATACTTCCACATTCGAGAAGAGATCTCTACGTTATCTCAATTTATAACTACGCCTTCTAATACAACCCGACCTTCCTTCAAACAGCGAGTCTCTTCGCCTTGAATTATGAGAAAATGTATTCTTGCTTATTCCATGTGTACCCATGCTGTATGTAGTTACTCAGAGACGGGTTTCTTCTATGCCATCCAGTTTTTTTTCTTCTGCATGACGTTTCGTTGAACGCTTCTTCTCACCATGTTGCTTACACTGCCAGACTTGCTAATGATATTCTTGTAAACTTTGAGTCAACGCTATTCTTGTACAAGTACCAGAACGCCTTTTCGTGCAATCTGCTCTCCTTCATGTTGCTGTGCGTCTCTTCGAAACTAATTGTCAAACTACTGAAGTCACTACTGAATTTAGCATTAGTTTGTCTCCACGCTCCACAGAGTAGTCTCTATTTTTTCGGCAAAATCTAGAACGTCGCGTACCTTCTTATTTTAAAGCATTTGTCCTATTATTGTTACAATGGGTGGATAATAAATCCGCTTGCTTATGCAGTAGGTGCGCTTGACAGCAATAGAAAAACGCACTTGAAGCGGTACTTACAGTTGACCCTGTTGTCGTGACTGTTGTCGTGGCCACTTCGCTCCCGTGGGCGTAAAAACTCCTTTTCTGAAAAGAAATACGAAAGATACGCGAGAATGGGGGCTTTTCCCGAAGGTCGCGGCACACTCACAACAATTAACAAAATATTACCAATGCACATAAGTATTTCTGACTGCACACTGACGTTACTGCTTACGTTTTGCCATACATCTCCTTCAGCAAAATTTTTTTCAGCCGTTGAAATGCAAGAAAAGTTAGAAGCGGTAGCCTTTTTTGGATGTGCAGGCAAGCTTAACGCTCCGCAGCGTGCCCTGAAACGGTTAGGTTGACGCAAGCACCGTGTAGCTTTGGGTTCTGTTGCCGAGATGCTACCAATGCTTGACGACATACTGGCCAAGGATAGTGATGTAACATTCTGGCAGCAGCACCCAGCGCTTCGTAGTTTGCATGAGTGCGACTAGTCGAGGCAACGCTGTGGAGACTTGGAGTTAAGCTTGCTGACGACAATACAATTGTGTCTGCATTGTAACAAGGGCAGGCAAGGAAGCAACGTAAAGCTAGAACCCGCTACGTCTTTGGGTAGGTTTCCTACAAAATTTATTGCGAAGTCAAGCCCGTGAACATTGCAAGTGGAGTGGCTATTGTGTACACTATATGTAAGGTGAGCTGAGATAAGTTGTCTTTGGGGGCCGTACACATAAGCATTCTGAAAGGAAAGCCTGGTGGTGCACGAAGTTCGCCCATCGGCCAGGGAGCTTAGCTGTATTGAGCTGAATACACCATGATGTAGTAGAACAAACCTAGGTTATTCTTAAAGCAACTTCACTGCATATTCATGAGGAGTGGACCGCGGTATGAATCAAAGTAGGAAGGGGCCTGTTTCCGAGAGGCTTGCTCCTTTGTTTGACACAATCCTAATAAATTTGATGGATAGGACAAGGAAAGCATGGTGGCCAATTATTTTTTTACTTGTTCTACACTAATATTGACTTACGTACAACTGAGGTAAAGAGCACGAAAAAGCGGCTTTTTGGTGAACCCAATTATCTTTGTCATAAATTGTCTGTCAGTTCTCAATATTATCGTGCCTGACAATGAAAACGAGCCCTTACATTTACCATTCTTTTCTTCGTTTTGGTAGGGGGAATCTGAACCCCAGCCTTTAAAATACACATTATTAGGAATTAATGATATGCGAAGCATGCGGAGGGAAGGTGACTATGTTGTAACTTTTTATTGCTATAGCAAATATATATGAACACTCTCGGCTGGATTTTGCCACCGACGCTGGCGCTGGTGACCATCGTCATTCATTGTATATGTACATGCATTTCTATATAAGAATAACGCAAGAAAGACAAAAAATTATCCAAAAAAAACTCCCGCGCGCGGAGTCGAACGTCCGACCACTTGCCTGTGAGTTCGTTGCATAGCCACTGAGCCACGCATGGCGGCCGAGAAGACAGCAAGCCTATCAGATACATTACGTCCTATTCAGGGCAGAAATCAGCGCTGGATTGTTTCGAAAGTAGGTGATCAGTCTTTAGACTACTCTACTTGTCGCGTGTGCGATACGGATCACGCTTGCCGGACGGGCTCGCTCGTGTTGTATATCGCACACACGAAATGCACCGTGAAGGTCAGCTTGGGCGTCTGCAGTTCGCCTGTGCTTGCCACCGCCTGAAATTGGCTGCCATTGCCGTCGGCTTCACGTACGCTCACTCATCGAGTGCTTGCCTGTCTCCGCCGCCGCGATGAGCTCCAGGCTGACAATATTGGGCTGAGACCTCGTCGCTGTGTTGGGAGTCATCGAAAACACGTTGCTGGTTCTCGTAACGAGCTTGGTTGTAGTATGTCGCGCCCTGTGTGCACCAGCACAGGCTGGCGGGGCTTTCGATAGCGTCGGAAGTGAGTGAAAATTGGACGCCATTACAGTTGGCTTTTCCATCAGTCGGTCGCAAAGAGCTCGGCGCCGTCTGCTGGCCGCTGCGGCGGAATCATGTTTGCGCGCTACACTAGCTCGAGTTTTTGGAAAAGGGCCGCATTACCGTCGATTGCTTCGGCGCTAGCTCCAAACCAGCTTGGCGCAATTCGTGGTGGTGGCCAAGCGTACGCTCGCTCTCCTGTTCAAAGTTGGCTGGCGGCAGACACTCCGGGTGCAGCGCCGTGTTTGGTCTCGCGTTCGCGTGCTCGACGTCACTCGCTTAGGACTCGCCGACTTGTTGGCGGCACGGTGGTTCGCGAAGATGCGGCTGCGGCCGCCGCTTCTAAGCTGTTGCGCTACGGGGATCGAAATGAGCCTTTGACGATGTGTGGCATCACGGCAAAATTAATAGCATATCATATGTCACGTATGTTTTTATTTCACCTTGCACGTATTTCTTATATGCAATCGTATTCATTCTTTGTCAGTTGTGACACACTATTTTACATACTTAATGTACAGCCGTCGGCACACACCGTGCTGAAGGCTGTGTGCGCTGGCGTCTGCGATGCCTGTCATTCATTTCTTTCGTCACAGCAGTTTCAGAAGGACTGTGCGAGATGTGAAGGTAAAGTTATTTGTGTGACATATTTTACAAGGATGTTTTCATATTAACTTGCACGTACTTGTCATATGCGTGCATCTTCATCTTCTGTCACGTGTGCCTAACTATTTTTACTATATTATTGTAAGTACAGCAATGGAAACACAACAGGCAGAAGGCTGCGTGCGGTGGCGTCTGCAATGCCTGTTATCTATTGCTTCTATCGGAGGAGCTCTACAAGGAGAGAACAAGATGTGACAACGAGACTGGACTTGTACACTTCATCTTGAATTCACTTAAAAGAATGGAGAAGCTTCATGTGTATGTAAAAAAATAAAATATTTCGATGTGTCACTTTTGTCTTTTGTTGTTGCTGTAACTGCGAAACCAGTTACACATGGGTGGCTAACTACTTTTTCACGTGTTCTTTTCTGCGCTATGTGTAGCTCACTGCGCAGAAAAACAGGCGAAAAAGTATTTGGCCTGGCGGAAAATAAACAAAAGACAATGTTTGAACTGGGGTTCAAAAGTTCATCCGATTGAAGTATTTGAGTGGATCAACCGTTCGTCCAGCGAGGTGCAACTGTGAGGACTAACGATTGCCTGCTAAGGTGTAAATGTGGGGATTAACATTCGCCCCATAAGGCGCAAATGTGGGGACTAAATGTTAGTCCTTTGAGGTGAATTGTGGGACTAACGATTACTAAATAAGGTGTAAATGTTAGGACTAAATGTTAGTCTATTAAGCTCGTCAGTGGGAACTAACTGTTAGGCCGGGTGCCGTTAGTCCTTGAAGAGAATATTGGTTGTGGCAGCCCCATTAGTCCCCAAAAGAGCGAACCACACACCCTTTTAACACCCTTCTGCCTCAGAGTGTGGGGAGAGTCGTACGCTTTAGGCATCTACCGGAACAATTTTGTTGTAGTTACCCTGCACAAGAAAGTCACTGCACTCACTGCACAGTCTTCGTTTGCGAAAAGGGCGCACTTTTCAGACAAAGCGAAGTAACAACTGAGACAACTATTCACGTTCATCCTTAGTACTTTTCGTGTGTCATCTGTGCGTGAGCGACGCAGGGCACATTTCTATCTGCATGCCAATCTTTGTCTGACATTCCAATTTGTTGCTGTCGCATTCATTGATGCACCTTTGCGGCAAAGCTGTGACATTCTATATAGCGAAATGCTACGAAATAACACTGAAGATATTGAAAGACACAAGAAGTCTGCACCAGGCAAGACCAGCCGGAGCGTCTATTCCGCGATAATTGCCTCAGCTCAAAACAGCTACGAACGAGCCATATCGCGATAATGGTTCTGTAAAAGAGAGAACCATGAAGTACAATAAATATGCCTACAATATATTCCCCCTATTCGAAGTGCACAGCCTGGCCCCACCTCATAGATCAGCTGAACGAGTAATCAAAGACTTCATGCGTGACATGTGCACAAATTCCGTGTCGCGACGACGGCGGTCAGTGACGGACTGAAGCGCGATCACGAGATAGCTCACCGGGGAAGTTTGTCGTAGAAGGGTGTACGGGCCAACGTACCGGTGAAGACATTTTTCGCAGAGCCCCGACGCTCAAATTGGGGTCCATTGTAAGAACTTATCTCCGGAATGAAAGGTCACGTCGCGTCTTTTGCTATCTCAGCGACGTTTTCGTCGATCTTTAGTGATGATGATGATGATGACGATGATGAGTGGTTTTTAATGGCGCAAGGGCCAATTGATGGCCAAAGAGCGCCATTTCAGTAGACTGGAGATATGAACAATGATATGATGCGTGGCGGTAAAGTGGGCTTAAAATTCCTCGCGCTAATGCGGGTTAAAACATGGAAGTAATAAAATCATGACAGTGCCATGAGATATGTGCAGTGAAAGCGAATGGCAAAATTTCATGATAATAAAACCAAGATAGAGATGTAGTCACCAAGATAGAGATGTAGTACGGATGACCTCAAAATATAGGGCTTAAGCTATGAACAATTTTTAAAAACGTGAAAAGTGATTGCAGTTTAAAAAGCGGATCCCTACCGATGAGCATCCCAGGGTGTAGAGGGAGCTGCTGTCGATAGGGCAGTAAAAAGTGCTTTTTTGAGCATCTAGGTAATCGCACTGGACGAGAATGTGGAGAACCGTAAGTGGTTCTCCACATCTCTTACAATATGGTGGATTACCGGTGGATAGAAGATATGAATGTGTGGAGTGTGTATGCACTGCTCTAAGCCATGTTGTGGTAGTTATGTGTGTCGTGATTTTGATAGTGGTGGCCAATTACCTAGTTGTGGCTTAATAGCATTAGGTTTATTATCCGTGTGCCTATCCCACGTGCTCTGCCAACACCCCTGAGCTTTCGTTTTGGAAACGCTTTTAAGTCGAGTGCAGGGATCGGTATTGATTGATTGGAAGTAGTGTCGTTGGCGGAAGCAGCCAGATTGTCGGCCAAAACGTTCCCTTGTATCTCACGGTGCCCTGGCACCCAACAGACAACGACATGCTGTTTTGATGTGTACAGTGTGCACACAAGTAAGTAAA